AATTAAGAAAAAATCAATCCATCTTCTGCCGCTTATCCGAGGTCGGCAGTAGCCTAAGCAGGGAGGCCCAGACTTCCCTCTCCTCAGCCACTTAGGCCAGCTCCTCCGGGGGAATCCCAAGGTGTTCCCTGACCAGCCGAGAGACATAGTCCCTCCAGTGTCTCCTGGGTCTTCCCTTGGATCTCCTCTCAGTTGGACGTGCCTGGAAAACCTCACCAGGGAGGCATTCAGAAGGTATTCTAACCAGATGCCCGAGCCACCTCAACTGGCTTCTTTCAATGTGGAGGAGCAGCGGGTCTACCCCAAGCCCCTCCCGGGTGACCAAACTTCTCACCATTTCTCTAAGAGAGAGCCCAGCCACCCTGCAGAGAAACCTAATTTCAGCCGCTTGTATCTGCAATCTCATTATTTCGGTCACTACCCAAAGCTTATGACCATAGATGAGGGTAGGAACGTAGATCAACTGGTAAATCAAGAGCTTCGGCTTGTAACTCAGCTCTCTTTTCACCACGACAGACCGGTACAATGACTGCAGGACCTTGTCCTTGTCCTAGAGAAGGCATTCTACCCTTTTCTGATTCAAGACCATGGTCTTGGATTTAGAGGAGCTGTTTCACATCCCAGCCACTTCAAACTTGGCTGCGAATTGCTCCATCAAAAGCTGGAGATCACATTCTGATGAAGCTAACAGGAACCATATAATCTGCAAAAAGCAGAGACCTGATCCTTAGGCCACCAAAACGGATCCCCTCAACACCTTGGCTGTGCCTAGAAATCCTGGCCATAACAGTTATGAACAGAATCGGCAAGGCCGGATTATAATATGGGCAATCTGGGTCCAGGGGCCCCCAGCCACAAGAGGGCCCACGCAAGCAGTAATCTTTATTTATTTATTTATTTATTTTTGTGCAGCAGTCTTAACGCTGGAGAAAAATGTTGACAAGTAATTAAAATTGTGCCCACATTTACTAAGTTAACACACATTTCTTTTAACAACGGTAGGTCTTTACTGTTCCTGCTTCAGCCCTCTCCCCCCTCCCCCTGCGCGGCGGCCGCAAACTCACTGATGCGCCTGCAGCCTCTCAGAGTTCCTGCTGCTCTAAACATTGAAAGAATCATTTAATTTTCTGTTCCTCACTTCTGATTACCTTCAATGGTGTCTGTTTGTTACAACCACCAGGTACAAAAACAAACTTGTTTTAATTTGACAATTTTTTTCTGTCCTGTGTTTATTATCTTCCTGCATCTCCTCTCAGTTCTAAAGAGAAACTGCTACCAGGCTTCATATATATTCACCTTATGAGTTACCTTTGAACTGCAGATAAAAAAGATCTACCGACTGCAAAGATAGCGGAGTGCGCAGCATGCCGGCCGCACCAGTGAGGTGAAATCACCGGAGGACGAAACAGGTTATCCGCTCCGCAGCAGTAAAACGCATCAGGCACAAATAAAAGACAGAAAACATAAAAGGATATGAGCCGACATAAACAATCGCATGCTAAATATTTTTTTTGAGGTGGCGACACTTTGAGAATGTTACTGAGGCCGTGCTCAGGACGCATCTGTCTGGAGCGCGTCAACGATCAGAGCTCTGTGCCTCTCAGCTCTAAATAATCCCAGCAGAGTCCACATGAATAATGTAATATAAATAGAATGATGATCGTTTACAGGCTAAAAAATAGCCTACAGCCCATCTTCCCTTATGTGTTTGTGGCCCTGTGGATTTTTCCAACTCTACCTGCACTTCTTATATGTACCTCTCAACGTAGGACTCTTTCATAAGTGTACCACACCATCAGCTACGTCAGCCCAGACAAGAGAAGAGAAAATAGAGACAGAATAGAAGAAAATTCTGTCTGGATGTAGATGGAGATTACATTTTACAGCAGCCTGATCATCATTTAAATACGTAAACCATCACGTGGCTTCCAGTCCACGCTAACAGCATTATTTTAATTGGTGCATTTGTGTGTGTGTGTGTGTGTGTGTGTGTGTGTGTGTGTGTGTGTGTGTGTGTTTTGCACTTCAAACACTGGTCTAACCAACTAGACCAGCATGTCCAGTAACATATTAATGTTACAATTACACAATTTCACCTCATGTAGGCAAGGAACATTTCACCTGCCGTGGCCCGACCGCTTCTGTTCCACATAAACTTTGTGTGTAATCAAATGTCTCTACAGGTGCTTTCTGTGCTGATGAGGCTATTCTGCCTCAGACAGACTGGATGTGTCATGCGTCTCCACATTGAGGACTGGAACAAGCGCTATTCAGCCAAAGTTTCATAATCCAAGAACATTTTTCCAAGTGACACATCCCTCAGAGAGACCGGGTTTCCAGACCACTTCAGTGGAAGGAAATCTTACCGCATCGCCGTGGTTCTGCGCTGCAAACTTCTCTACAGATCTTCAGCCCACTGTCCACCATGTGCGCTGCGAGCTGCGCTGAGCAGTGTCCAGTATAAAGCTCTGATGTTCTGATGGGAATCTTTTCTTGATTTATGAAGTTACCTCTGCAATGTGTGTAACGATTAAAATGTCAGCTCATCTGTGTGTGCATCAGTGTGCGTCTGGGTAATTCTTTCAAAACAACCAACATCCGTGAGTATATCCGTCAAAATAAACAGTCAAATGGAAATATATGTAACCTGCCATTTAACTGTTTTGCCTTCTTGTGAAGATTGTTGCAAAGAAAAACAATTAAACTTGATTAACCCCAGAGCCATGCGCACTGTGCTGTACTGACTGTAAATGAGGGGGAAACAATTTAATCAGATCCTTTTCTTACCATTTCAACATGGTTTAATGTAAAAATTTCATTGAGTACAAACTTTAGTTGAACCAATCTAATGAGACAGAGCCCAGATTAGTATTCTGAACAGTTTAAACATGTTTAAAACGGAGACATGCGTGACACATCTAAAGTTCGCACCTGCTCAGCTATTATGGAAATTAAACTAACAAGATGAATAACATAAAATTATTGTAGGCACAGAGAACCCCCCCCCCCCCCCCCCCCACACACACACACACACTTTTGAAAATCTTGCAATGCACCTGCTACCAGTTACAAATTGTGAAGGGGAATGATCTTCACAAATAGCAAGAATAAAAAATGAACTGAGAACAACACAAACTCAACAGGGCCTCAGTACACTGTCACTGATGGCAATTGAATATAAGCTTGTCAGGAATCTGGACTTTGATGACATTGTAAATGAATTTACTAAAAGAAAATCCAGAAAGTAGTTTTTCTGAAGGTAAGACAGGAGACCACCAAGGAAACAAAAAAAGAGGAAGGAGCCAGAAGTTAAGAGGAAGAAGGAGAAATGAGTCAAGAGGAGGAAGGAGACAGGAGACAAGATGAGGAAGGAAACATGAGACAAGATGAAGAAGGAGACAGGAGACACGAGGAGGAAGGAGACAGAAGAAAAGAGGAGGAAGGAAACATGAAACAAGATGAGGAAGGAGACAGGAAAAGAGAAGAGGAAGGAGACAGGAGACAAGAGGAGGAAGGAGACAGAAGACAAGCAGAGGAAGGAAACAGGAGACAAGAGGAGGAAGGAGAAAAAAGAGGAGGAAGTAGACAGGAGACAAGAGGAGGAAGGAGACAGGAAACAAGAGGAGGAAGGAGACAGGAGACAAGAGGAGGAAGGAAACAGGAGACAAGAGGAGGAAGGAGACAGGAGGCAAGAGGAGGAAGGAGACAGGAGACCAGAGGAGGAAGGATACATAAGGCAAGAGGAGGAAGGAAACAGGAGACAAGAGGAGGAAGGAGACAAGAGGAGGAAGGAGATAGGAGACAAGATGAGAAAGGAAACCTGAGACAAGAGGAGGAAGGAGACAAGAGACAAACAAAAAGCATGCAGATATTTAACCTTTGTATCAACGTAAGTAAGCAAGTTTTAAGATTGACAATGCTACAGAATATCTAAAAAGTGCTTCTAGGTGGCAGTAATGTTGGGGTAGGCCGGGGGGGGGGGGGGGGGGGGTTTAAACACATTGTGCCCAGGGGTTCTCTCATCAGAAATGAGTCAGACCAAGCTCTGACACCTGTCATACAGGGACCTAACAGTCCATATCAGAAGGCCTGGCACCCCATACTCTCAGAGTACCCCCCACAGGGCTCCCCGGGGGACATGATCTCATCCACCCTTGGAGCCTTATCATCAAGAAGTTTTTTGACCACCTCAGTGACCTGTGCCCTCGGTTGGAGAGTCCAACCCAAAGTCCCCAGACTCTGCTTACTCACTGGAAGACGTGCTTGTGGGGTCGAGGAGCTGAGCAATATTCCGCCTACTGAACAACGTTCTGAGTAGAGGTCAGCAGCACACTGTCTCCACTGTAAGCAGTGTTGGTAGTGTACTGTTTCCCCTGCTGAGATGCCAGTTAGTGTACCAGAATCTCCTCAAAGGCATACAAAAGGCTTGCTCCACGGTTTCACCAAACCGTTTCCACGCCTGGGTTTGTGCCTCCGTGACCACCCGAGCCACATTCTGCTTGGACTGCCGGAACCCATCAGCTGCCTCTGGAGTCCCACAGGCTAAAAAGACCTGATAGGACTTTTTCTTCAGCTTGACAGCATCCCTAGCCACCAGCGGGTTTGGGGGTTGCCACCATAACAGGTACCAATGAGCCTGCGGCCACAGCTCCGGTCAGCTGCCTCAACAGTGGAAGCACAGACCATTGATATCTTAGGACTGCCAACACACCCTGTTGCACTGACTGTAAAAGCAGAGATGGAACATACTATTGGATCAAATGAACTAAATATCATTCAGAGACTTAGAAACAAGCAAGAGGGTTTAGAAACTAATTCTGTAAGTTACAGGCAGCCAGTGAAGGGAAATTAAAATGGGTGTAATGCGCTCTCATGATTTCCCACAATTCTGGGCTACCATAAATAAAAAGTTTGTTTTTTCTATAGTCATTTAAAACTGATTGCCTCCTCATGGTACAATATACAGACAAAAAGAAACAAAAAGGCAGTGTCTGACCCACCTGCAGGTTGGCACACGTGGAGAACATACAAGCACTTTCCATGGGCTTGATGGCATTCTCGGTGCTCTGGTGTAGAGAGGGGAAAGGTTTGGAGGTGATTGGTGGCTGGGTGGGGGGCAAGAAAGTGAACGGGAGCTCAGTTACAGGTGCAGCCACCCCGTCTGAACCATACCCAAATGACAAGATGGCATTTTCTGAGAGAGGGGAAACAGAGGAAATAAGTATGAGGAAGCATCACCAGGGCACAGCAGTCAATATGAATAACCATATAATTCCACCACAGATATTTCATCACTTGTTTCTCCAACTAACAAAATCACTCTGATAACAAAATTGCTGTTTGATAACAAAGGGAGCCTTGCTGTTTTTGCTTCCTTGTTACCTTTCCAAATCCCCACTCACCTCTTATTTTCTAAACAGAAACAAATCCGAAAACAAATAAATAAATAAATTAATTAAAATACAACAGAACCATTTTCGATTTGTGATCCATTCAGTGATTCACTATGCCATAATGAATACAAAAAGTATAAATCACCTCAAAACAAAAGGTAGAAAGGTGCTTGAAAATTAACCCTTTTGGATGTTACACTGGGCAGGATGCTCCTCCTTGTCTACTTGTGCTGGTCAGGGGGACCGGTGGCACATGTTGCATGGCAGCATCTGTGCTCCAGAGCTGCTGTGGCTAAAATGTTCATCATCAGTGTGCTTGACTGAGACGAGCACTACACAGATATGAAATGCTATTATTGTATTCTACCTATCACATGACTGAATGGAAACGGAGTAAATCAAATCCTGGATATTGACCTTCATGTAGGCTGGCTGGGCTAATCCTTAGCAATGATCTGTCATTTGGTGGGAGATCTGAGAGGACTTGCTGCTCCTCAACGTCAAAAGTAATGAGTCACGGACCAGGAAAAAACAGAGCTAACAAACTGAGAAGCAGGACTGAAACTAGAAGGAAGACAACAGGACTAAACAGTGCAAACCAGTAACTAACTGGGAGCTAAAATAATAGGAGGACCTGACAAGTGGTGATTAAACACAGGAGGCTTATACTCTGAGAGGGATTACAACACTGGGAAGCATGAGGTGATGGAAGACAGGTGCAAACAGTTAACTAGGGAGCGAAGGCAAGAACCAAACTGGAATACAAGGGGCACCCATCATGGCAGGTGGGGATTGAAGTACTCCTTAATGTACACTGGCCCTTGTGCTTTGCATAGAGCAGAGAACAAATCCCACAACAACTGAGACTTTCATTCAGCATGAAATTGTTTAAACAGAAAAAAAAAGCTTGTCCACAATGTAAAAAGAGCCACTGCTTTTCATTCCATGGGTCAACAAGGTGATGCTTTCTTTGCAGTTTTTATTTATTGTGACATAGTGGTGGTCAACAAGTGTGTTGTACCACTGTAAGATTGCACACCTCACATTTCATGCACATGTATCCGTGCTGTTTGTTGATTCCTGATTCTCTTACCAATTATCTTTGATTAACTTGTTTTGGTGATGTTTACTAGGAATTAAATTTTTAAATGTTTTTGTGAATCCCTACAACCAGGGACGAAATTTTGATTTCAGAAGTGGGGGGGACACAGCAGGCTTGTGCGGATTTGGGGTGGGGGGTGTTATGTAAAGACCCCTTGACACGTCACTTGCCCATCTCAATAATTTTTCCATCCTCTATATCTATATATATATATATATATATATATATATATATATATATATATATATATATATATATATATATATACATACATATCAAAGTTAAAAAATGTACAACTCTATTATTATTTTTATTTATTATCATTATTGAAGTGCAGTTTTGGCTGTTGACAATGGATAGGCCATTGTATTTATTGTTTTGGGTCTTTTTTATTGTTTTTGGTGCAACATTTTCTAACAGGGAGTGAGATTCCTTTTTTATTCAATTTTTGTTTGTTATTTTTATTCATTTAGAAGTTCTGGTTCTGGACATTTCAATGTTAAATGAAGGTTTATTTGTTGCATTTTAAAGGGTGTACTTGCATTATTATGATATATTAACATTATATTAGTGGTTATTTTGGTCTAGATAATGTTGACAATATCATTTATCATCAACAATTTGTTGGACAAAATATCGTCCAGCAAAATGTGTTACTTTCCCAGGCCTAGTCAAAAGTATAAAAATTATTTATACATAAACGGTCCCTCCTGAGATCTGGCCGTTTGTTCATTTGCTGTGTTAGAGGACATGCTGAACTAATGTTTTACACATGATCATCACCCTAACATTTGAGTGTATAAAAACATATTAAATATGTTTTTTCCCTTAAAAGTGTTTAAACAGTTGTTGCATTTCAACACACAAAAAATAAATGGAAAAAATAAGATAAATCTAATGAAAAGTGTACATCTTTGACATTAAGCTTAAAAAAATCTGTTGACAATGATGATACTGTTCATTTTTCAGAGCTTTTTAATGTGAAAATATACATTGCAATAGATAAGTTTACAATAAAGTTAAATGATAAAAGTTTTGAAGTTACACTTCTACTACTACTAGTTAATAATAATTATGATGATAATAGTAATAATAATGAAAAAATAATTATAATAATACGAACAAATTGTGTCTGAGGAGTCAGTTATGTGGAGGAGATGAGTTTGTAAAAGTTAGTTTTGAGTATGTGTGTGAAGGAGGAGGTGAGTCTGAGCTTAATGCAGGTCTGTCACATGTTCCAACTTACGTTTTGACTTTGAAAGAAGTCTCTTATATCCACTTTTCGTTTTCTTGACATGCTGCCTCCTGGCTGTGCCTAACTACCAAAGACTCACAAATGAACACTTATTCAAATGTTATGTAATGGAAGCTGAGCTGAGCTCTGATATTACACAGCGTCTAGTTGACGATGTGACTCAGTACCGGTGTTCCCTAGCGGCTCCAAACTAGCAAAACAACGTGAGCACGTTCTGACTGTTTACAACTTGAGTGACAGCAGCAACAGCCAATAATACGTTAGCAAGTATCAGCAGAGCCAATAGATTAGCTTTTGGGCGGGTCTAATAGGAAACCGGTTTCCGTTTCGGTCCTAGTGCTCAACCAAATCCATTTAATGGAGCGTAACATTGTTTTTGGACGGAAAAAAGTGCAGGGGACCAAAACTGCCTTTTGAAAAAGTGGGGGGGACATGTCCCACCCGTCCCCCCCCAAAATTACGTCCCAGCCTACAACTATGAAAACTTAATATATGCATAAGCAAAAATAAACCAAAAATGAAGATAAAAGGCGCTGAACAAAAATCTGCTGCTTCCTGGATGTCTGTGGGTGTGCAGTGTGAGAGGCTTCTCCTTAAAATTACACACACATAAAAAAAAATGGGAATAACAAAAATGCTATCTTCCCATTGTTCTTTGTCACTGTCATCTCTCATAATGAAACCCTGGGGAACATTTATGTAAATGTGACCAAAAGCTGAGCTGAAGGTGCTGTCACTTTAACTGACTGATGAAGCCATTATTGCTACCTTCATGTCCTGATGGGGCATAGAAAGCTAGAGTGAGAGACTTTTGTTTTTCTTACTTTTCATAGTGTTAATGTTCCCAGTAACATAGATGCACATATTTCTATCCACAATCTATTTAAAAATGTAAAATGTTGGTTGTCAGATTCTCAAATACTTAAAGAAGCCAAACTTTACAGTCTCTTTCATTTTGTATGCTCTAATCTAGGCACTGCACCTCACAAACTTTGAACTGTTGAATCCCTTTTTACAGGTGCATGGACATAAGGGTTAGACAGGTGGATGGACATAAGGGTTATACGATTCCTGTTCTAAGTCTCATGTGTGTCTCTGTTCTTAAGCTGCTGATAACTGGCCTCAATAGATGAGAATGTTGACCTGGACTATAATATTAAATTGTGTTGACCTTTAGCCAGTCATTAATATTCAGACAAAATAACACAAACATATTTATTGATCTCCTCTTTGAACCGTCACCTTATTGTGGTGGAGGAGTTTGAGTACCCTACTGATCCTAGGAGCCATGTTGTCTGGGGCAATTTGTGCCCCTGGTAGGGTCTCCCATGACAAATTGGTCTTAGGTGAAGGGTGAGACAAAGAACGGTTCACAGGATCTTTCATGGAGGTAAATTCAAGAAGTCGGGGTACTCGGCCCGGAGGGTTACCGGGGTCCCACCCTGGAGCCAGGCCTGGGGTTGGGGCCCATGAGCGAGCGCCTGGTTGCCGGGCTTTTGCCCATGGGGCCCGGCCGGGCCCAGCCTGAACCGGATACATGGGCTCATCCAACTGTGGACCCACCACCCGCAGGAGGAACATAAAGGGTCCGGTGCAATGTGGATCGGGTGGCAGACCAAGGCGGGAGCCTTGGCGGTCCGATCCCCGGACAAGCTAACTGGTTTTGGGGACATGGAATGTCACCTCGCTGGCAGGGAAGGAGCAGGAGCTTGTGGTAGAGGTTGAGCGGTACCGGCTAGATATAGTCGGACTCACCTCGACACATAGCATTGGCTCTGGAACCCAAGTCCTTGAGAGGGGTTGGACACTCTCCTTTGCTGGATTTGCTCCGGGTGAGAGGTGGGGGGCTGGGGTTGTCTTTTTGTTAGCCCCAAGAATCTCTGCCTGTGTTTTGGGGTTTACCCCGGGGGACGAGAGGGTTGCTTACCTGCGCCTTCGGGTCGGGGAACGGGTCCTGACTGTTGTTTGTGCTCATGGGCCAAATATCAGTTCAGAGTACCCACCCTTTTTGGATCCCTGGGACGAGTGCTAGACAGTGCTCCATCAGGGATGCCATTGTCCTGCTGGGGGACTTCAATGATCACGTGGGCAATGACAGCTTGACCTGGAGTGGTGTGATTGGGAGGAATGGCCCGCCTGATCTGAACTCAAGTGGTGTTTTGTTATTGGACTTCTGTGCAAGCCGCAGTTTGGTCATGACGAACACCATGTTCGAACATAAGGATGCCCATCGGTACACTTGGTACCAGGGCAGCCTAGGTCGCAGGTCGATGATAGACTTTGTAGTCATATCGTCTGACCTGCGGCCTTATGTTTTGGACACCCGAGTGAAGAGAGGACGCCTACAGGGCGTGGCTGGTCTGTGGGTCCCCGGAGGCAGCAGACAGGTACCAGATAGCCAAGCGGGGTGCAGCAGTGGCAGTTGCCGTGGCAAAGTCTTGGGC